CCAAATGAATTTCAGGTTCACATGATCTGGGAAATATTCAGTACTGAACGGATATCTGGTATTAAAGCTAGCTTAAGCTTGTTGGTTTGATTAATATAGACACGTCTTTAGAGTCATCAGTGTTAAGTATAATACTTCTGTTGTACCTAAGTTTATTGAAGGTCAAGTTTATGTTATTCCTATTGCAAATTTGTCAGTAAGAAAATTAACTCGATGTGAAAAAAACTTTTAAGGCAAGTAAGATGTATGTCTTCAATGAAAGAGGTGTGAGGAATAAAAAAAAATACTGAAAAAAGAGTTGTGCATGATCAGGATTTTCTAAGATTGGATTAAATTTAGTTGGCAAATGGATTTTGTTGGGAGTAGGCTGAGGCAAGACTGGATTTGGTTTCTCCCTGCAAAGTTTTCTTGAAATGCTGCTTTTGATAACAGATTATGTAAATTTCTTTGCCTTTAAGTGACCTGTTTTTGCTTTTGAGACCTCTTTTAACTTTGGTTAAGGAATAAGTATTGTTTCACAGTGACCTATGATGGTATGTGACCAAGTATTTTAAAACTTTTTGACAAACTCCCCAAAGATCAAATTTTAATTAGTTCTTTTGATTTACAGCTAACTTTGGGATGCTTTAGAGGGCCCCTGAGGCATCTCAAAGAAAAATACTTAACTAAGATTATTTGGTATGTTAAGTTAAATGTAATCATTCGTAATTCTGGTTATTGTAACCAAGTTTCTTTATCAATTACACTGTAATCAGAGGTTTAATCATGCTTTTAAGTGTTTTGTCATTTATAGATGGCTATTTTTGTACTCTGATGCTGTTACAAAACGTGCTTCATCATCAAGAAGATTCATAGGAAGGCTAAGGAAACAGTCACAACAGTTCCATATCAAGATGATGGCTGTGCGAGGATTCCAGCCCATACCAACTTAAAACAAGGAGCTGTCCTGTCCCTGGGGTGCCTAGATCAGGCATCTAGAGATTTTTTCCTCCCTGACAGGAAGGATCGATCCCCCTACTCAGCCTTGAAGCAGTTACAGAGATGGACCGTTGCCCCTCTACTTCCCAAAAGAATATGGGAGTGAAATCTCTGACTGGGGAATGAAAGAGGAGGAAAGGGGGCAGGGTACAACATTTAAAAGAATGGCATAGCCATCGAGGACATTAACTGATTAGAACCAACTAGGTCCAAGATGGCAGAAGATTTGACTCCCACTAGACCTGGAGCCTCATTATATGCTCATCATAATATATCAACTGAATGACACACCCACCAGTGCCATGACAGTTTCCAGGCTGACCATAAAAGGTCAAAAAGTGGACGGTGGCCCAATTCCAGGAAATCCCTGCCCCTTCCCCCAAATAGTTGGAATAATCCTCCCACTCATTAGCCTATGAAATTACCCAGCCCATAAAAACTAACCACCCCGTATTTCAGGGCCTCTCGCCTTCTGAGATGGCCCACACTCCATCTGAGGAGTGTTTCTCTCTAAATAAATCCACTTCTTACCTATCACTTTGTCTCTCACTGAATTCTTTCTGCCATGAGACATAAAAAACCTGAGCTTCACTAAGTCCTGAGATCAGGTGTGTGATTTCAATTAAAAGACAGTGGGTTCAGGTCCCAACCTGGGTTTTGGCTGGGTTTGAGTCTGGCCTATGGGTTCAAGTCCAATCTGAGGTGCACGGTTTCAATATGTGTAAGTAATGATAATTTGGTCTCTAATTCCAATATTCATTCTTTTTAAAAGTTCATGTCTGGGGCTTCCCTGGTGGCACAGTGGTTGAGAGTCTGCCTGCCGATGCAGGGGAGACGGGTTCATGCCCCAGTCCGGGAAGATCCCACGTGCCATGGAGCGGCTGGGCCCGTGAGCCATGGCCACTGAGCCTGTGTGTCCGGAGCCTGTGCTCTGCAACGGGAGAGGCCACAGCAGTGAGAGGCCCGCATA